GGATACATTTATGACCAGAAAACATATTTGAAACCGTTCATCGTTTAATCAATAATCATTTATGTGACTGACGTTGTTTGTTTTGGCTTATCAAAGACCGCATCACATCATTATTATTAATACAAAATCCTACGAAGCAATTCAGTATTCAAGGTGACCTGTGACTGAATTGAGTATCCAGGGTAACATGTGGCTGAATTCAGAATCCAGGGTAACATGTGACTGAATTCAGTATCCAAGGTAACATGTGGCTGAATTTAGTATCAAGGGTAACATGTGACTGAATTCAGTATCCAGGGTAACTTGTGACTGAATTCAGTATCCAGGGTAACATGTGACTGAATTCAGTATCCAGGGTAACATGTGACTGAATTTAGTATCAAGGGTAACATGTGGCTGAATACAGAATCCAGGGTAACATGTGACTGAATTCATGTAGTAACCGAGTGTTTGCCTATCCATCACCGCAAAGATTCACACAGGAAAAACGGCAATTAACACGTTAACGCAGTTTTATTCTGTGGAACTGCAGACTACAACTTGGCAAGCTTTTCCGCCATTACAAACTCAAATGTGGTCATGTGACCACTAACAAAAGAACATCTAGCGTACTAAATATAGATACGAAGTTATCACATCCCTTCCCCCTAAAATGGCTTACAATGAGGAAAGTCAAAACACTAATAAACTCAGAATTACAAGTTCAACTTATCTGGTTTGTGGGCAATGCATCCAGACCTAGTAGTAATAACACCTGGGCTAGAAATCTTTGGTTTAACTGTATCTTTAGGAGTGGTATCTGGAGGATTCTGAATAATTGAGTGATCTGGGCAAGGATTACAATCAGTAATGTTACTAGGACTTGTATCAAGAACAACACTGGGATTTAAGTCCTCGTTAGAAACTGGAATACTTAATGAAGGAGTAACTTGTTTACTAACAATTGGAATCTCTGGTAACTCCTCATTTACCCTAGTCTCACTAACAGTACTATCAAATTTCCTAATTCTAATCTGGTCTACATGTCTTCTAACAATTCTATCATTGCCCAATTGAATTTTGTATGATACAGGACCAGTAATTTCGACAATAACACCTGGCAACCATCTATTCCCTCTACCACTATAGTTTAGTGCTAGCACATTATCATGAATATCAAAAACTCGTGATTTTACATGTTTGTCATGATACAATTTCTGTGTTGCCTGTTTTGATATTACCTTTGATCTAAAATCAGGGTGAACAAGTGACAAATGGATGCGCAGTTCCCTATTCATAGACAACTTAGCTGGTGTAGCACCAGTTACACAATGTGGAGAACTACGATATCTAAATACAAATCTTAATACTCTAGTTTTAATGTCTCCCTGTTTCATTTTTTTCACTCCATTTTTGAAAGTCTGAACTGCTCGTTCGGCTAAACCGTTAGAACTTGGATGAAATGGTGCACAGGTCACATGCTTAATACCATTATACAGCATGAATTTTTGGAATTCATCACTTGTGAATTGGCTACCATTATCGCTAACTAATATATCTGGTAGGCCGTGAGTGCAAAATATCTCTTTCAATTCAGCAATAGTTGCTGTAGATGTAGAAATATTCATGACTTTCACTTCCAACCATTTTGAGTATGCATCAATTACAATCAAAAACATTTTGCCTAAAAATGGTCCTGCATAGTCGATGTGCACCCTTTCCCAAGGTTTTTCTGCATAAGGCCAGGAATGCAATGGAGCCTTACTAGGTTTACTTCTATGAATTTGACAAATTTCACAATTCTCAACTGCTTTCTCAATATCACGATCCATGTGAGGCCACCAAACGTATGATCTAGCTATAGCTTTCATTACAGAGATGCCTGCATGTGCCTCATGCAATTCAGTTAAAATTCCCTGCTGTCCAGCAGGTGGAATAATCACTCTATTACCCCACAATATGCAACCTTCCTGTACACCGAGCTCATGTCTACGTACATAAAATGGTTTCAACTCTTGTGATTTAAATTCATTTGACCAACCCCTTTTAACAAATGACAGCACTCTGGAATGAAGTGGATCACTAGCTGTCCATTTTCTAATATGATCAGCGCTAATGGGTTGGCCTGACAAGTGCTCTAGCAATAAAATTGTATCTGTAGGTACTGGTACAGATTTTGGTTTATTAGGCAATGGTAACCTACTCAATGCATCAGCATTACCATTATCTAGACCTCTACGGAATTCCAAATCATAATCGTACGCTGCAAGAGCAATTGCCCAATGCTGCACTCTAGCACTGGCCATACTAGGCAAGGCTTTGTGTTCATGAAACAATGAAACTAAAGGCTTATGGTCAGTGACCAATGTAAAATGTAATCCAAAAACATAATTATGAAAATGTTTAACTCCAAACATGATAGCTAAACTCTCTCTATCAATCTCAGCATAGTTTTTCTCAGCATCATTCAAGGTTCTAGAGGCAAAAGCAATAGGATGCTCAGAACCATCATCATTTCTATGTGCTAAAACCGCACCAATGCCATAAGGCGAAGCATCACATGACAATACAATATGTTTATATGGGTCATAGTGTACAAGAACACCACTTGAAATCAGTAATTTCTTAGCGTTTTTAAATGATTGCTCTTGTGGCTGCGACCAATGCCATGACACACCCTTACGTAGTAATTTATATAAGGGCGCCAACACTGAGGACAAATTCTTGAGGAATTTCCCATAAAAATTGATTCCACCTAAGAAAGACTTCAATGTGTGGACGTCGGTTGGTCTTGGTGCATCCACAAAAGCCCTAACCTTATCCTTAGAAGGATGGATACCCGTTGAGTCTATCTCATGACCCAAATAGGTTACACTTGGTTTAAAAAAATAACATTTATCAAACTTAATCTTAAGACCCTTATCATGCAATCTTTTCAAAACTTTCTCAAGGTTTTCTTTGTGCTCTTGATCAGAGACACCTGTAATGAGTATATCATCTATATATACAGTAACATGTGGTATATCTCTTAACAAATTATACATATGTCGTTGGAGCCATTTTCACTCCATAAGGAACTCTATTATACATGAACAAACCACGATGAGTGTTGATGACACAATATTTCTTGGAGTCATCTTCCAGCAGCATTTGCTGATATGCATTACTCAAATCCAATTTTGTAAAGGTTTTACCACCAGCCAAATTTGCAAGTAAGCTATCAATCTTGGGTATTGGGAATGTGTCAGATTCAGCTACAGGATTAATAGTAACTTTATAATCCCCACAAATGCAAACACCCCCATATGGTTTTGACACTACCACAATAGGTGTTGCCCACTCAGAATTCTGTACTGGTGTGAGAGTACCATTCTCTACAAGCCTGTCTAACTCTGAATCAGTGGCTTCTCTCAGCGCAAAAGCTAAGGGACGTGCCTTAAAAAATTTAGGTTTCACATCACTCTTTACATAAATCTTGGCACTATCTCCATTATAACTACCCAAACCTGGTGTAAAAACATCATTATACTTCTGTTTTACTCTATGCAAGTAACTATCATGATCACTAGACTCTACCTTGACTTGGTGTACCAATTTTTTCCAGTCTAACTGAATAATTTCAAGCAAAATTTCTACCTAGCAAATTCTGCCCTGTACCTGATACAACAATCACCGGTAATGTGAAATGTTGACCATTATAATCAACCTCCACCTTAACGACACCATCGACATCCAGTGTTTCACCAGTGTAAGTCTTCAAAATTACATCAACTTTCTGCAACCCCTGCCTTAATTCTGGGTTAAATCTACATAATTTTTTAAATTCCTGTGCATTTAACAAAGTAAAGCTTGCACCTGTATCAATTTCTAAATCAACTGATTGACCTTCAATATTCATTTTACACATAAAAGGATCAACTCTACCCAGATTAGCTCTATTGAGATTTCCTTCACAAAAATTGATCTCATTAAAACTATAATAGTCATCTTCATCAAAATCATTTCCCTCCAAAACCTCATTGTCAATGTTTTCAACTTGGTGAGTACTACCACTTTTAGTTGTTGACTTGACTTGTTTCCTGCTGCAAGTATAGCTTCGTCCACGACCTCTCCCACGAAATGTTTTTGTAGTGTCTGCTTGTTGATTTGGACGCTTTTCATTCCTGCACTTACGCGAAATATGTCCTTTCTGTTGACAATTGTAGCAAGTCTTGTCCTTATAGGTACAGTTGTATGGTTGGTGATTACCATCGCACCTCCAACATGGTTTTGCTATCGTTGTATAGGTTTTATGTATGGTAGGGGAGTCCTTCATATCGGATACATCTTTCTTTGCGCATTCTGCAGCTATTGCCAATTCATAAACTCTTTTGAATGACAAAATTTCTCCTGTTTTTGGCTCAATGGACAGCAGTTTAGATTGTATGCGCTCATCATTAATACCAACTATTAATTGATCACGTAGCATATGATCCTGTGGTTCTTCAGACAGAGAGTTAAAATTACAGTGTTCTGTTAACGATTTCAAGGAAGCCACATAATCAGCTATACTTTCACCATTTTGTCGGTTGCGTTTGTGAAATTTCAGTCGTGCAACAGTTTCTGACGGTTTCGGGTCGTGATGCTTGGTTAACAGCTCGCACAACTCAGTGAACGATAACTTGCCTGGTTCTTTTGGTTTGCACAAATTTCGCAAAAGTTTGTACGCCTTAGGACCTATTATGGCAATTAACACAGATCTCTTCACATCTGGCTCTACTATTTTGTTAGCTACGAAATAATGTTCCAATCTTTCACTGTATTCCTTCCATGACTCAAGTTCTGGGTCGAATTCGCTAACGTTTCCGATTAGCGCCATTATGAATACGTAATTAGGTATATCGTTTTAGCAACGGAAGTTCACGTGAATAATTCTTAGATACTCACTTACTATTTTAACTCACACAGAGTTGTAGTTATAAGGTCACGAAGTCCGATACCTCCTGTTGTAGTATTTCACACAGAAAATGCAGTAACCATCAAATTTACGAAGCACACAGCTTGGCCTTTTTGACACACAGTCTGCAGTACAACAACCGTCCGTGGAAAACAAATTTCGATTTTTCACCTTAAGGTCATTCCTGTTATCCTCGTCGCCATTTATGTAGTAACCGAGTGTTTGCCTATCCACCACCGCAAAGATCCACACAGGAAAAACGGCAATTAACATGTTAACTCAGTTTTATTCTGTGGAACTGCAGACTACAACTTGGCAAGCTTTGCCGCCATTACAAACTCAAAGGTTGTCATGTGACCACCAGCAAAAGAACATCTAGCGTACTAAATATAGATACGAAGTTATCACAATTCAGTATCCAGGGTAACGTGTGGCTGAATTTAGTATCCAGGGTAACATGTGACTGAATTCAGTATATATCCAGGGTAACATGTGGCTGAATTCAGTATATATCCAGGGTAACATGTGGCTGAATTCAGTATCCAGGGTAGACATGTGGCTGAATTCGGTATCCAAGTTACCTTGTGGCTCAATTCGGTAGCCACGGTACCTTGTGGCTAAATTCCGTATCCATGGTACCTTGTGGGTAAATTCCGTATCCATGGTACCTTGTGGGTAAATTCAGTATCCATAATACGTTGTTGGTGTAGTATATTCACTTTTCATTGTACTTGTGAGATGACCCTTGACCTTATCATAGTTAGTCATTTGAGACGCCCCCTTAACGAGTGTCGTCTGCGCCTTGAGATGCCCGCCATGTTTGTAAGCTCCGTAACCAAAATAAACCTGTTACTGCCTTGATCCTGTGTTTCTTGTGTGGATACATTACAATTGGCGACGAGGATGGGAGGGAAGAGAAAGT